AGATCTTGTTATGGAATTACTTGCTGAGTTGATTTTTTTTATTAATTTTAAGCTGCATTAGCGTGTATATTGAGCTTCGTATCTTTCATTAATTGTCGATTAGGCTAACTGGGATGTGAATCTTATATATTTCGTGTGATGTAGACTATAAAAGCTCCCAGGTTTACTACCCAAATGATGTAAAATATCTAGCCAATGCTTGAACTATGGCAGCTGAAAGGAAGATTGCCTATCATAGCATCAAGCGCCAAGAAAATTTTAATTATGCGAGGCACCCGATTTATTAGTGTATTTTTGTCCAGACTTCTTGTTAGAGAGGGCTATTATGTTTAATATAATTTGGTTCTTCTTACTTTTGTAGTTGTTAATAAGTAAAATATTTGCTCGAGCCTTGCTCTCCTAAAAATAAAAAACATATCAATGCATAGTTAATCCTATCTTCGTAGATATATATATTCTGTCTAGATTTGATAACGTAGAGGATATTTACCCCTTAGGCTGGTGGGTTTTTTCAAAATTCTTTAATCAGCGATGAAGTTCATCAAATAGAATATGCATCAAATTAATGTGGTGAAGAATGATTGGAGAGACCACTACCATCAAAGCAGGTACAAGGTTTTGAATTTAATCTTTTGGTGAGCACGCATCTCCCATCGTTTTAAATAACATTCCGCACACTAATATTATCTTAAAAATAACACAGCCCGTGCATTGCACGGGCAATCGACTAGTATCATAAAAATGTGGACATATTAGGCATCCAACTCATATTCAAGATATATTGATGTCTCCTCAGACCTCAAGTACACAAAAAAGTCATACTACTTTTTTATTTTCATATGGAATCACCTATGAATATGATACAATAATTGATATAATGGGCCCTCAGCGGTGCAATTCTCCATACCCATTATAAGGGGTGGAATAGACAGCAAATATCATAATTTCATAACGTGTTGATTTCGGAGATGGTGATGGCAGTTCCATTTATGATATTTGATATCTATATTGTAGGGTTACTGTTGATTTTTTCTTTGTTAATCATTATTATTAGCTGAGTAATGCTATAAAGTATAAACTGCTGGGCAGCTTGTGAAAACTCAACTGGCGCAGTGAATGAAGATCATTTTCCATCAAAATTTTTTTTTTTTTATTCTATATAAAGCAATGAATTGGCTAGCCGAAATTTTGAATTTATAATAAGGATAGATTTAAAATGAGATAGATGTAGAAAAATAGTGTAGATGTATAATGTTTAAATGAATGATCTAATAAGAACAATATTGGAATGTGTCGTCATTTAAAATAATATATTTTTCTAAATTTTAAAATTTTAATAGAAAAAAAATATATATATATACACACACACACAGTGACATGATTCCCACGAAAGGCACGAATCAAGAAAGGATAACTGGAAAATAATTAAAAACATAAAGCAGTTTCAAAGGATGCTTCATGAAAGACGCCAATTAATTTATCTGAAGTTTCGTAGAGAGTAGAACTTGATGTATCAGATTTTCCAGATTCTTGTAAGATGATCCTTCCGAATTTTTAGCAGAATCTTGAGCCAGTTTCATCCACTCGAGGGCCCTTTTCTTCATCTCTTTTCCTTTTTCTCCAATCATCAATTCATTTACAAGAATTTCCACTTCATCTCTCTTTACATCACTATCAATTTCCATGCCAATCCCCCATTTGGTGCAGCTGAACCAACAGTTAGTCTGTTGATCGGCAAAAAATGGCCAACAAATCATTGGTACTCCACTGCCAATACTCTCAAGAGTCGAATTCCATCCGCAATGAGTTAAGAACCCTCCAATGGAAGGGTGGCTAAGAACTTTCTCCTGAGGGCACCAATTTGCCAACATGCTTCTTTCTCTGGTGGCTTCAAGAAACTCCGGTGGAAGAATTGCGTCTTCCCCAGTGACAAGGTCCG